TGTCCTGGCCCCCCCCCAGTCCCTTTCCCCCTCCCTCTTGTCTCTGTGTGCTATGATTGGAGTCTGAGGGCAAGGAAGGGTGTCTTGGCAGTTGGCAGTCATCATGAAGTTGACTGTGGTTGTAATGGTGGGATTGTGTTCCCCACTCTTAGCAGTTACCAGTCACTTAAAAGTTAAGGGACAATGTTGCAACAAGAACAAATGGATATAAACTGGTCATCAACAAGTTTAGGTTTGAAACTAGACAGAGGTTTCTAACCATCAGAGGAGTGAAGTTTTAAAAGTTCCATTTCCAAGGGGCCAGGGTGGGCAAAAAAAAAACACCCTCTAATTTGGCTTCAAGACAAAGCTTGGTACATTTATGGAGAGGAGGAGGATATGATGAGATTGCATATGGGCCATATGCCATTGTAGGCAATTGCTAGTAGCAAAAATCCTGACAGTTGGAGATAGGGCACTAGATGGGGAGAGCTTGGAATTACCGCAGAGAATTATTTTCCAGGTGTCTGGTGGGCCTTGTTGATGTGCTCAACATCTAATTTATCTCCATATTTGGTGTTGGGAAGGAATATTCCTCAAAGTCAGATTGCCATAGATCCTGGGAATTTTTCATCTTCCTCTGCAGCATGGGACACGAGATGTGCTAGTTTAATGTAAATGGTAGATCCTCTGTAACTTGAAATCTTTATATTATGATTTGAGAACTTCAGTGATCATGATGGTCCATTTTGGCCTTAAAGTCTATAAGCCGAATTTGCCCCACAAGGCTACCGAATTTCAGCCTGAAGCAGGCTTTATTTTGCTCTGCATTTCAAAGCCATGCAGTGAGAACATCTAATGGTGATAGCCAATCCCTAGAAAGCAATTACAATCCCTGGAAGGAAATATAAAATAGTTTCCCCCCTTCCTCTCAAAAGTTGAATTATTTTCCTTTTGTCTTTTCCCATAAAATGGGCAATCAATTTGTCACTAAGAATCACTGTATTGTAACCATCTTTCCAAAGGCTTACACATATCTTTGGCATTAAACAAGAAAATACTTTACTAAATCAAGCTATATCCAATGGGAATTATATTTTAGAGGCAGATTGGAGGAACCCATAAAAGTAAATTGATAAGAAAAGCAGGTGTGGACCATTGAGAAGCGTGCATGGTTGTATCCTCCTGAGACATGTCTGACACTGGTATGGCTGTTGTACAGTGTTAATTAGATCATTCTAATTAATTCAGTCAAAGTGTAAATTAGGAAGGAATGAAGAAAAATTACTTTTGAAGGCTGCTAATACATTTAACCTCATGCTGTTTATTTAGCAGTCTAACAAAATAATGATGTTAAGAGTCTAACAAGGCAGCAGACCAGGACACAGCTGTTAATAGCTTTAAATATGAGATTGCAGTCTGTGTTACAGGCATGTATGCCTGATCTGGGCTGGGGGTTGGCTGGTGCAGCTATATCAGAAGACTGTGGTAGTGTAGATGTGCTTCATATGGGGGGGGAAACCCTACACTGTTTCTGGTGTAGTTTATACCATTGTTCTGAGTGAAATAAGCTATATTGGCAAATTAACTTTTTTTTGGAAGTATAACTGTGTCTACACTAAAAGTGTTTTGTTAAACCAGATGGCTGTGTCTACACTGGCATGAATTTCCGGAAATGCTTAAAACGGAATACTATTCCGTTTTCAGTTTTTCCGGAAAAGGAGCGTCTACATTGGCAGGCTGCTTTTCTGGAAAAGCCCTTTTTCCGGAAAAGCGTCTGTGGCCAATGTAGACACGCTTTTCCGGAAAAGAGCCCCGATCGCCATTTTCGCGATCGGGGCTTTTTTCCGGAAAAGACTACTGGGCTGTCTACACTGGCCCTTTTCCGGAACAGTGTTCCAGAATAAGGACTTATGCCCGAGCAGGAGCAGAATAGTTTTTCCGGAATAGCAGCTGATTTTGTACAATAGGGCGTCGTTGTTTTTCTGGAAATTCAAGGGCCAGTGTAGACAGCTCGCAGCTTATTCCGGAAAAGTGGCTGATTTTCCGGAATAAGTGGCCCAGTGTAGACAGCCGATTAGTTTAAATGGTGCAACTTCTGCAAGTGGGTCAGGCCATACTGGCCAACTCCAAAATTCTAAAGCCCCTTAAGACAATGGGAGACTTTCCAAAACTCTCATTGGGCACTAGATGGGGCTTGATTTCTAGGGCTGTGTCTAAACTACATGGCTCCGTCGACAGAGCCATGTAGATTAGCGTTGTAGGCAAAGGGAAATGAAGCGGCGATTTAAATAATCGCCACTTCATTTAAATTTACATTGTTGCTGCGCTGAGCCGACAAACAGCTGATCAGCTGTTTGTCGGCTCAGCCTGGCGATTCATTATTTAAATCACCGCTTCATTTCCCTTTGCCCAATAAACAAATCTACATGTAGTGTAGACGTACCCTAGGAGACAACATATTTTACAAGAGGCTGCTTACTCTGCTTGAATTCTGAGAATTTCACATACCCAAACAGATGTTAAACATATTGTATTACATAGAGATGTGCAATATCTTAAAATATCTGTATCTCTTGTGCCTACTTTTATAATATGATTTGGAAATAAATAAAAAAGAACAAAGCTGTGTAACAAATTACCCATTCATTTGCTCACCCTTTCACCATTTTGTTTCCCTATGCATATCCTTAGGATCCCTAGAATTCCTCATGATGTGCTCCTGCTATAAATTGATTGTGCACATATATGTATTCTATGGAGCATTTTGAATCCAGACATATAAATGAAAAAGGAAACATATTATGAATTGACCATTGGCTTGTTTATATCATAATAATTTTAGATGTCTTTTCTTTCATTTTGAAAAAAGAATGCACTTCCCAAACTGTCCTATTCAGTGATCTTAAGTTACTTACATTTTCTTCTTGTACCTATTACAGACTAAAAACAACCCAAGCGAAACAAACAAAACCCCACACCAAACGCCCCTGCACACCACCTTACATATCTTGATATAAAATTCTTCATACTTGCTGACAATATCAGATTTCTTTTATCTATTAAAATGCAACGAGCTGCTTAGTGTCTTTATTATGTAGCTAGATGTTTATTTCTAAAATGAGATTTCTTGCCAATTACTTTTTTCCGCTTTGCTAATTGGGGAATAATTAAAATCAAGCCGAAGTCTGCGCTGCTTAATTACTTTATTGTATAAGCGTTAAGCGGTTAAAAAACTAAAAAAGGCTGAATGGAAACGCAATCACACCCGAGTGTTTTATCTCTGCAGATAGAAGGAACCCCGGCGTGCTGTTTCTATGAGCATTGTAGTTTGCTTTGAATCATGCGCTGCCGGCTATTGGTTGGGAAACACGTGGAGGGGGCGGAGGGAAACGCAGTGCTGGCAGAAACTAGCAGCTCCCGCTTGCCTATATCCCAAACCGATAGCGTCATCGCGGTAGTGTCTAGTGTTCCCAGGTTAGCAGTGGACGCTTGAGGCGCAGCCGCCTGCGTTTCTTCCCGGGAGGAGGATCCTAGCGGAGTGCAGACAGAGTAGCTAATAGCTGCTTTGTTCTGCTCCCAGCTCCGTCTATTAGTTGTATCGTCGCACAAGCGAAGCCTTTTAAGACCCGACAGCCCTACTTGGCTTTCCGTTTCCTAAAGCCTGGCTCCCCCCGTGTGATCGATTCCCCCTGTTCTCTGGCATTGCACCACTAGGCAATGCGCACAGTGGGGAATCTGGGCACAGCTGCATTTCTGCACATCAGAGCGTAACCCTTTTTATACGCAGTCGGCTCTGTGGTGGTTTTGCTCAGTGGTCTCCCCGTGCACCCTGTGAACCCCTCATAGAGACCATCTCGTAAAACACACCCCACGGCAGCCCTAGAGACGCAGTGCCTCTAGTAACACAGCTGGGTTACAAAGCCTTGTCTGTAGCCTTGTGCATTAGGACCAACCCCGTCTCATCCCTTTGGAGCCCTGGCTGGCAGGGTATCCCCGCGGGGTGGTGCGGAGCAATGGAGACTGCATCGATGCTGGGGCAGAGCTTGCTGCAAGAGGCCGGAGAAGCCACCTTCGGAGCCCGTGTCCAGTGTGCCTGTCCAAGGGAGGAGGGAGGGCTGTTGGGGCCCCTGTCTCAGTGCAGCGGGAACCACCGGGGTGGGGAGGGAGACGGCGGAGTCCGGCTCGGCGCGGGGGCAGCCCTTCCTGGCGGGGGACACGGCACACGTGGGTCGCGCGGGCCCTCCTGTGTCCCGGGCTGGGCGAGCTGCCCCTCCCCGCCCCGGAGCCCTCCTCCCCTT